AATTGCAATCTGTATTCGAAATGTTTGAATATTTTGGTGAAAAGTTTACTAAAAGTTGTTATATAAGGGGTCGTTCTCTTTGTGTTTCAGTTTTGTGTTTTGAGTTTTGAATTCATTTTGTGTTTTGTGTTTTGTGTTTTGTGTGTGTGAAAACTGAAAACTACACCATACAGTATACTGATTTGTTTTGCGGTCTGAATCAGTAATGGAGTCGTTGCATTGGATTTGCATTGCTCTGTTTTTCGGTCTCTGTTTTGGTGCCGACCCATTTGCCAACTATGAGTTGGAACTCTCTTATATTACTGCTTCCCCACTCGGAGTTCCTCAGCAGGTCTTTTTTTTTCTCCCTATCTGAATATGATTTTTACTGTTATAATTTTTCCTTTTGTTATGGGTTGTGTTTAGTTTGATCTTTTGAAAAGTTGTGAAATCAGGATTTTATTTTGTGCGTTTATACGATTTCCATTGCTTCTTTTGTTGGGTTCTTGCTTTCTACCAACTTCTATGTTCTATTCATTTTTTGGGTGTACTTCTAACAAGAAAGTCAAATCTGCTCTGTTTCCATTTCTCTCTGTACTATTGTATTTGTAGAACAGATCAACCAAATTATGCTTCGATGCTTTTGTTATTTGTTTTTGTCCTTTCAATTTTCATGAAGCTGTTAAAAATATTAATCAAGTTTTAGTCAAATTCAATTTTCCTGCAATCTTGTTAATATCTATACGTATTATTGAATAGATAAAATTGGATTGATTCCCTAATAATTCATTGGAAAAAATTATAAATTATTTATAAATGGTTAAACTTTATTTTCAACCACATGTCCGCCACTCATTTTTATCTATTTGTAAATTCTTTCCAAACTGAGACTAATCATATTTGTAATTTCATTTTGCTTTTCTTGAGGTTTTAGTTTTTAGCAGAGTTATAAGTTAATCCGTCCTTCATTGCAATTTTCAGGTCATATCTGTTAATGGGAAGTTTCCAGGTCCAGTTATCAACGTCACAACGAATTACAATGTCATCATAAATGTTAAGAACAAATTGGACGAAAATATTTTAATGACATGGTATGTTCATGTAGAGGATAAAATGTTTTCTACCTGATATTTGCAGGACTGTATTCTGATCATTTTAAAACTTTTTTGGGATTGAATTGTCATGATTTGATAGGTCGGGGATCCAGATGCGCCGGTCGTCATGGCAAGACGGGGTTCTGGGCACAAATTGCCCCATCCCTCCGAAGTGGAACTGGACCTACCAGTTTCAGGTCAAGGATCAGATTGGTAGTTTCTTTTACTTCCCATCATTGAACATGCAGAGAGCATCCGGTGGATTCGGCCCATTTATCATCACGAATCGTAATATTATACCAATTCCTTTTAGTATGCCCGATGGGGATATAGTCATCATGATCGGTGATTGGTATACTCGCAACCATACGGTAGGTACTCTTGGGGGATCACTGTCTTAATGCTGATTTTGTTCGCTTTGTTAACATCTAATGTTCGTAATCTTTTAAACATTAGGCTCTTCGGAAGGCCCTTGACGGTGGGAAAGCTTTGGGAATGCCAGATGGAGTTCTTATCAACGGGAAAGGACCATACAGATACAACAGCACGTTTGTTCCTGATGGCATTGATTATGAGACCATTAATGTTGATCCAGGTTAAATTCTTAGATATTGCTGTGCATTGCAGTTTACTGGGAATTGTTTCTTTCTGTCTGTTCTCTCTGTGCTGTATTAACTGTCTAATGAATGTCTGAATCTGAGAATTTTTACATATAACTTGGATTAAAATTTGATTTTTTCTCCATCCTTCTGAAGTTCACCGTAGGTTACTTCACTGTGATCTTTCATAACCAGCTGAGAAAATATGGATTTATGAATTTTTGAATCTAATCTCTAGTTTAACGACGTTGTGATGTCCCGTTATTTAATACTTCTCTTGGTGATTTCTGCGGTGTGTTCAGAACATACCTCTCAATGTACCCTTCACCCTCTTTTAAGTAACTTTTGTGGTGGTGACTGTCAATTTGTTGTCAATTTGTTGTTCTAGAAAAGAGCATTTTTTGGGTTGCCTGACCTGAAAACATTACAATCAGGTATAAATAACTGTATATTTCTAACCATGGTATATTTCTCTGCATTTTTAATTCCTGTGGTCTTAATTTCCAGAACTGGAAAATTGCAGGCAAAACTTACCGTATACGGGTGCACAATGTTGGAATCTCCACTTGTTTGAATTTTCGGATTCAGAACCATAATTTGCTTTTGGCAGAAACCGAGGGTTATTACACCTCGCAACAGAACTATACTAGCTTGGATATCCATGTTGGGCAGTCATACTCGTTTTTGGTGACCATGGATCAGAATGCAAGTAGTGACTATTACATTGTAGCGAGTGCAAGGTTTGTTAATCAGTCTCTCTGGCAAAGAGTCACTGGTGTTGCTGTTTTGCACTATTCCAACTCAAAAGGAAAGGCAGCTGGTCCTCTCCCAGACCCTCCAAATGATGTTTACGACACATCATATTCTCTGAATCAGGCAATGTCCATCAGGTGTGTATAGTTTTCTTGACCTTCCTTTATGCATATCCAATTTGTAATGTCTTAGTTGAAATGTACATGGTATTGAAATTGCTGATTTGGTACAATGCTAGTTAATAGATATTAGTTGATTTAAGCAATGTATTGCATTGCTGCAATTATCAGGACAAATATTAGGAGAGAGATTACAAGATTTATTTGGTAAGGTGGATTTGATAGTACAACATAGTATTAAAAAAAAAAAAAGTTAATTTTTTTGTAACATAATTTGCCACGACTTTCTTATCCTGGTTTGTCATCATAAATCTATCCTAATTAACGTGTTTTTATTATGCAAATTGATCAGGCAAAATGTATCTGCCAGTGGAGCTCGTCCTAATCCACAGGGTTCCTTCCATTATGGTTCAATCAACGTTACTGATGTTTATGTGCTCCAGAGTCTACCACCTACAACTATTGATGGGAAGCTCCGAGCTTCATTCAATAGGATTTCATTTGTCAATCCCGATACACCAATACGGCTCGCAGATGTCTACAAAGTGAAAGGTGCTTACAAGCTTGACTTTCCAACTAAGCCACAGGACAGGCCACCCAGGATGGATAGATCTATTATTAACGCTACGTACAAGGGGTTCATTGAGATCATTTTGCAGAATAATGACAGTGTCGTTCAGAGCTTCCACATGGATGGTTATTCGTTCTTTGTGGTCGGGTATAGTCTGCACCTTAAATAGAATTTGCATGTAGTGTATGGGGTCTCGTTTATGTTAATTATAATCATTGCTCAATTAATACTTCACAGGATGGGTTACGGTATATGGACCGAGAACAACAGAGGATCATACAACAGGTGGGATGCAATATCTCGCTCTACTGTTCAGGTAGGTGCACGATTCTCTTATTAACATTGTATTTTTTCCTTGTAACTTATAAGATATTATAATCTTGTTCCTAACTTGTGTTTTCCGGTCACAGGTTTTTGTGGGAGGATGGACCGCAGTCTATGCATCTCTTGACAATGTTGGTGTCTGGAATTTAAGAGCAGATAATCTCGACCGATGGTATCTTGGCCAGGAAACATACATGAGAATTGTCAACCCTGAAGATACAATCAACAAAACAGAGTTGCCTGTGCCTGATAATGCTCTCTATTGTGGTGCACTTAACAGCAAGCAAAAGTATTGCTCCATAACTTTCCTCACCCAACTGCCCCTTTCCCGTCTTTTTCTCTCTCTCATACTGAAGTACTGTTGCACCTTTGTTACTTGCAGGCCTCAGAAAACTTCGTCAGCAGCCATTATACATGGTTGCTCAAAGCTATACTTTGCCCTTCTCGCAGTACTACTTTCTGCTGCAATTTCCATCTTATGATGAACCTTACTTCCGGTTGGTGGCGACTATAGGAATTAGAGCAAATATTTAATGTGTAATGAAAAGATAGAAGAATTCACCGTGTTGTGGGGAAGTTTGGGGAGGATCCTGGATCAGTTTTTTCATCTCTTTGAACATTTGCTATACAGTTTCGTGTAGGGCGTCAAATTGTGCAGAAGTTTGGAATACAACGTTTGTTTAATCATCGTAAATTATTCTTTATGCATCTGAGTTGATTGCTACATTTTGCCAATTGTTACTCATTTATGATTATGTCTTTCGCTTAACGGTAATGTTATTTTCTTTCATGACCTCGTTTCTTAAGTTTGTTCAACTATGTCAAAGAACTTTGTATGGAACAACACTAAACGTGAGGAATTGGACCTCCAAATTGCATCGAATCCTCCATCCCTTTAAAAACTTGGATATCTTCAGTCGGATTATCTAGTTTGATTTAAAAGACGAGGAATAGGGTCTCCAAATTGCATTGGTCCTCCATGCCCATAAAAGCTTGGCTTGTTTCCAGCTTGATTATCCAATTCGCTCTAAAAGAAAGGCATGGTTACGAGGTAATACACTAGAAAAAATAGATAGAATAAAGATTGTTTTTTTGAACAACTTTCTGTTTAATCTATCTATTTTCATCATAGAATGATTATTCGATCATACATGTAATAGACAGTTCCCAATAACCCTCCCCACCCCCCCAAACCAAAAAAAGAGAAAAATGAAAATGTTCTGCATGTAGCAATGGACGTGGAGGCATTCATATGTTAAGCAGTGATGGACTTAGGTTTTACGTTCAGCTAGGGCGGACCTTTAGCGTTGACCGTTGATCGTCTGACAATCAACAATCGTAATATCAAGATCGTTTATTAATATTTAATTAAATAATATTAAAAATTATTCAATATATATATGTATATAAATGTACTAAACCCTAAACAGAGCACAGATGGTTGAATTGAGCCCAACATCTTCTCAATTGAATTTTTTAAAACCCTAAATTCCTAAACATAAATATTAAATTTCCAAATCACAAATCAAAACTCATAAATGATAAATTATAACTCATAACTCAATGACTCATACAACACATATTCACAATAGGAAAAAATAACCCCAATTCCACTTCCAAAGCTAAAAAAAAAAATTGTAAAATAGCAAAAGAATAATGAAGGAGACTCACTGAACGAAACTGTCCAGTGACTCCAGTCACCAGGAGGTGCCGAGGTGAACGGTGGTCCGGTGCCGGTGTAGTGATGGTTGCGTTCTACATCTTCTCAACTTCGTTCCGTTTCTTCTCGTCTCGCGATCTGGCAAAAACAGTGAACAAAATTCATATGGATTAAATTGGTAATGGATCCATTCAATTTGGATTGGGCTTGGTTATTTTTAAAGAGGCCCATAGCTGGAAGTTTGGAATAAACCCAAATTAAAAAAAAAAAACAAAAACAAAAACCAGATGCGGTCGTCTTCTTCAATTCTTCCCTTCCTTCCGGCTTCCACGGTCTGTCCACTGTTCCGGCGGAGCCCAGCACAGGCGGTCGTGCCCCCTCACCGGATGCTAGGTCCGCCACTGTTGTTAAGGGGTGTAAAAAAATTTTATCGCAAAAACTTTTCATTATTAAAAATCTATATTTGATGTGCACATCAGTCCACATGATCCAATAAAGAGGAAATTACATGGTTTCAGATATTTGAAGAACCTAGTGCAAAAATCAAGTGCAAAGAATTTTTAATCAAAATTCAGGTACGCAATTAATAATTAAATATTTATATCTACAAATCCTAGTTTTTTCCTTCTCTTTCATTTTCTCTATTCCGTCCATTTCCTTCTCTCTTCCTCTCATTTCTCACTCTTTCCTTTTCCCTCCACAAATGGACCGCCCGCCGCCGTCGCCACCACCATCGACTACCACCTCCAAGCATCGCTGCCAGCAATCAAAACAACCAACCTCACCTCCAACATTAAGTTTATATACCACCCATAATTTTCCCAATTTCGTACCCCATTCGCAACTATCTCAAACCCCTATTTCTGGTCTGCTTTCGCTGCCTCTGCAATTTGCAGCGAACTCGTACAAACAGTCCCTTCACAAATTGATGATCACTTCTCCGTCTCGGAAGGTGACGCAGTTCACAGGAGCGTCGCCTCAGCACCGAAGCTCTGAAACATCTGGTTCGACTTCAGATCTGGCGATTATGGTTGGAGGTGTGGTAGTATGATGTTATGGTGTGGTGTTGTTAGTGGTTGTGGTTTGGTGAAGGAGGTTATGATGTTTGATTTGATGCGGTGGCGATGGCGGTGCTTTTACTTTTGAAGGGGGTAGTAGTTTGGTGGTGGTGGTGTTTGGGATTTTTTTGTTGAGTAGTGGTTATGGTTGTTGGGCCTGTGTCCCTGTCTATGTTGTTGGTGGTGGGGTTATGTTGGTGGTGCTGATAGTGGTGATGTTGTCTTCGTGGTGTTGGATTGTTGTGGGTGGTGGCGGTGGTGGTGGTGGCAGTGGCAGC